TGGTTCCCTGCACCTCATCCCAAATTTGAGATCTCCAAAATCCCAAATCTGAGATCTCCAAAATCCCCAGTTCCATGCACCTCATCCTGACTTTGAGATCTCAGAATCCCAGGCACCCCAATCCCCAGCTCACTGCTCCCCAATCCTCCTCTCCAAGCTCCCCAATGCTTGGCTCTAAATTCCCCATTCCCCAATTCCCCAGGCTCCCCAGTCCCCATTCCAGGCTCTCCAATCCCCTCACTCCCTCTCCCATTCCCAGCTCCCCAATCCCCTGGCTCCGTGTCCCATTCCCGGCTCCCCAATCCCCTGGCTCCCCAATCCCCGCTCCAGGCTCCCCAGTCCCTGGCTCGGTGTCCCGCTCCAGTCTCCCCAATCCCCATTCCCGGTCCCCAATCCCCTGGCTCCGTGTCCTGCTCCAGGCTCCCCTATCCCCATTCCCGGCTCCCCAGTCCCCTGGCTCAGTGTCCCTCTCCCAGCTCCCCAATCCCTGGCTCCGTGTCCCGCTCCAGGCTCCCCAATCCCCATTCCCGGTCCCCAATCCCTGGCTCCGTGTCCCGCTCCAGGCTCCCCAATCCCCATTCCCGGCTCCCCAATCCCTGGCTCCGTGTCCCGTTCCCGGCTCCTCAATCCCCATTCCCGGCTCCCCAATCCCCATTCCCAGCTCCCCAATCCCCATTCCCAGCTCCCCAATCCCTGGCTCCGTGTCTCGCTCCAGGCTCCCCAATCCCCATTCCCGGTCCCCAATCCCCTGGCTCGGTGTCCCGCTCCAGGCTCCTCCCGCCCGTTCCCGGCAGGAAGCGCTCGCAGCCAATCGAGCCGGGGCCGCCGCCCGCCGCCCGCGCTGCCTCCGCCGCGGCCCCGGTGAGTGCGGGGGCTCCGGGGGGCTCGGGGGGCGCGGGAGCGGCCGCAGCGGGGCCGGCCCAGCCCGGGGGAGCCGCGGGGCCGCCCCGCTCCGTGTCCCTGCCGCGGGCCGCGCTCGGCTCCGGGCGGGGTTCCGGGCGGACGGGGGAGAAAGGAGGGAGGGAAGAAGGGAGGGAGGGAGGAATGAATGGGGCTCCCCCGGAGGATTCAGAGAGCCCTGCGGGGGTTGGGGGGCTGCGGGGTCCCCCCCAGTCCCTGGGGTGCAGGCAGGGGTGGGTGGCACCCCGGGATGCTCGGGAATCCCACTGGAAGCGCCCTCTTGGGTATGCGGGGCTGAAGGCGGTGCCGGGAGGAAGCGCTCGTTCCCCTTTTCCCCCGCCGAGACAAGGGAGAGCCCGCCCAGCCTTGCTCCGGCCCGCTGGGGCATCCCGAGTCGCAATCCCTTCCTCCCGGCAAGGATCAACCCGAGTTCCAATCCCTTCCTCCCGGCAAGGATCGCCCCAAATCCGTGTCCCTTCCTTCTGTCAAGTATTGCACCCCAAATCCTTGTCCCTTCCTTCTGTCAAGTATTGCACCCCAGATCCTCATCCATTCCTCCCTCCTGGTATCGCACCCTAAATCCTCATCTCTTCCTCCTTCCGTTATCACCCCAATTCCTCATCCCTTCCTCCTTCCCAGTATTGCACCCCAAATCTTTGTCCCTTCCTTCTGTCACGATTGTACCCCAAATCCTCATCCCTTCCTCCTTCCCAGTATCACCCCAAATCCCTTCTTCCTTCCCAGTATTGTGCCCCAAATCCCTGTCCCTTCCTTCTGTCGTGTATTGCACCCCAGATCCTCATCTCTTCCTCCTTCCTAGTATTGTACCCCAAATCCCTTCCTCCTCCCTGTATCACCCCAAATCCTCATTCCTTCTTCTTGCCAGGTGTCACCCTGAATCCTTATCCCTTCCTAGCCCCAAACACCCCATCCCAAAACCCCGATGGGATTTGGGGGCTGTGTCCCATCTTTCCACACCCCATCCCCACAGTCCCACGTGAGGCATTGCTGCTGCACGCCCACAACTTGAGCAGGACCTAAAAATAGTCCTGAGCAGAGCCTGGCTTTTGGCTCGAGGAGAGGGACAGAGGGGGCTGACCCAGGCACACCAAAAATTAAATTATTTAGTTTATTACTTCTAAAATGATCTTTCTTTAGTTCACTTAAGGAGAGAAGTCTTCCTTGTTGATATTATGGAGACTTTTTTGCAAGTTCTCTCGTGGCTCTTTTACAAATAGCAGCTGCCTGGGGAAATTTATTATCTGAAATTTATTATTTGTTATCCTGAAGCCCCTCTTATTTCCTACAAGCCTTCCCACAGCTTGTTTATGGGTTGTGCTCACTTATGGGGTATTGTTTTAAAGATGTTTAAAGGTAAAAGTTCTCATCTATCTCTAAAATTATCTTCATCTCTGGGAACAGAGATTTTTTTCTTTTCCTTCCTGGGAGCACAGGGTCTCATCACTCTTTTCTTTTTCTCTGTTTAAACTTCTGCTTACTTTAGTAGGGAGGCCTTTGCTCAATATGAATTTGAATCCTTAATCTCCCCATAGTTTCATGTGTTACAGAGAAAAAGAGTATTTTCTCCACAGTTTACAAGAGGATTTTAATCCTAAAATTAAGGCATCTCCTCATCCCTCCCATCTGGGACTTCTTTTTCATCCATTTCGATGTCTTCATGTTGTTCTTTAACATCTTGTTCCTTTCTCTCACCCGGGGGAGGATTGAAGCACTGAAAGGGTTAACAAATTCCTCGGGGCTTGCAAATGGTCAGTGGGAGGCCAGGACTTCTCCCTGGACCCGGGGGATAATTTGAGGTTATAAAAAACCAGGGAACAGGGTGAGGTGTGGTTCTGGGGGATTTAATTATCCCTTGGCTTTCTGGAGGGAAGTTTTTGTGGGATTCCTTCTATCCCCACTTGAGGTCTTGGGGAAACTGAGTCACAGCACAATGGTGGCAGCAGTGGGGTTGGGGACACAGTGGTCACCTTCCTGGGACACTCTGGCAGGAACTGTAGGGTCACTGTAGGGAAGAGAGGATTTGTTCGATGTCCCCAGGAAAAGGGGACGGTTCCAAGGGGGATGAGTCAGGGTTTCCCTCTCCCCCCATCACCCTTTCCCTCCTTCCCGGCTGCCTGGCATGGATTTGGTTGGGAAAAGTCCGGGACAGGGGGTGGGAAAAATCCTGGATTGGTCGTTTTCCATCGTGCTCGGGAGGGAAGGAGAGGGGAAGCATTCTTAGGGCTCTTGGGGTAGAAATGGGCCTCAGTTTCCCCATTTCCTGTGCACCAGTTTCCCCTTGTGCCTCAGTTTCCCCCATTCCCTGTGCACCAGTTTCCCTCTATACCTCAGTTTTCCCTTGTGCCTCAGTTTCCTCTTTGTGCCTCAGATTCTCCCATTCTCTGTGCCCCACTTTCCCTCATTCCCTGGACCTTTTTCCCTCTTTGTGCCTCAGTTTCCCCTCGTGCCTCAGTTTCCCCGTGGGAGCCACAGGGGTGGCAGTGCCATGACCCCACAGGGGTGGCAGTGCCACAACCCCACAGGGGTGGTGGTGCCAGTGCCAGGGGCTCCGGACAGGGACCCTGGCATGGGCCGGGACAGGGAGGGGACACAAACGGGACCATGGGATGGGATGGGATGGGATGGGACAGGACACAGCAGGACCCTGGGATGTGCTGGGACAGGGACAGGATCCCATCCCAGGGATGGGATGGCACAGGGAGGGGACAGGGACAGGACACAGCGGGACCCAGTGATGGGACGGGACAGGGAGGGGACACAGCGGGACTCTGGGATGAGTTGGCACAGGGAGGGACAGTGCTGTGACCCTACAGATGTGGCAATGCCGTGACCCCACAGGCGCAGGTCCCAGCGAGACCCTGGGATGGGCTGGCATAGCCCAGGGAGGGGACACAGAGGGACCCGGGGAGGAGACAGGGAGGGGATAGGGAGGGGACACAGGGAGGTGACAGGGAGGGGACAGAGTGGCGCCGCTGCCGGAGCTGGTTCCTGTGGCGGGAGCAGCGCGGGTCATGCGGCGCCTCGGGAATCCAGCGGGGCCGGGCACTCTGCCCTCACCTTCCCCTGCTCCGGGCACCCATCCCGGAGCTTTCCTGCCTCCCTGCGGGCAGGGCTGAGCCTCGCTGCCCTGGAGCTGCCGGGAATCCTCAGCCCCGTCCCGGGGAGCTGCTCCCGTTGGGCTTGGAGTGAAATCCCGGCCCCTGGGAGCTCCTCTTGGAGCACGGGGCTGGGGCAATGCAGGAACAGCTGGGGAAGGGAAGGGAAGGGAAGGGAAGGGAAGGGAAGGGAAGGGAAGGGAAGGGAAGGGAAGGGAAGGGAAGGGAAGGGAAGGGAAGGGAAGGGAAGGGAAGGGGCTCACGTGGCTTCCCTGGGGCACAGCTGCTGCTGCCAACTCACCAGCTCTGTTGGTGCTGGGAATGCAGCAATCCCTCTGGCCGTGCCAGGCTGAAGCTGAACCCCTTCCTGTGGTGTCTGTTGGGGTGGTGGTCCCCAGGAATGATTGGTGTGGGATCCCCAGGATCCCTGGGAATGCCTGCACTGGGATCCCCAGGAATGGCTGCCCTTGGATTCCTGGGAATGCTGTGGGATCCCTGGGAATGGCTGGTGTGGGATCCCTCAGAATAGCAGGTGTGGGATCCCTCAGAATGGCTGGTGTGGGATCCCTGGGAATACCATGGGGTCCCTGGGAATGCCATGAGATCCCTGGGAATGGCTGCCATGAGATCCCTGGGAATGCTGTGGGATCCCTGGGTATGGCTGGTGTGAGATCCCTGGGAATGCCATGGGATCCCTGGGAATGGCTGCCATGAGATCCCTGGGAATGGCTGGTGAGAGATCCCTGGGAATGCCGTGAGATCCCTGGGAATGGCTGCTGTGAGATCCCTGGGAATGCCGTGGGATCCCTGGGAATGCTGTGGGATGCATGGGAATGGCTGGTGTGAGATCCTTGGGAATGCCATGGGATCCCTGGGAATGCCATGGGATCCCTGGGAATGGCTGGTGTGAGATCCCTGGGAATGCTGTGGTATCCCTGGGAATGCCATGAGATCCCTGGGAATGGCTGCCGTGAGATCCCTGGGAATGCCGTGGGATCCCTGGGAATGGCTGGTGTGAGATCCCTGGGAATGCCATGGGATCCCTGGGAATGCTGTGGGATCCATGGGAATGCCATGGGATCCCTGAGAATGCCGTGGGATCCCCAGTCTGTTCCCTTCCCTCGCTCTGTCCCTCCATCCCAGCACCATCCCAGCCTTTCCTTGTGTTTTCCCCCAGCTCCTGGTTCCCAGAGAGGATCCTTCCCACCAGGATTCCCGCTCCTGCTCCGTCATCCCGGCTTTTCCCGTGCCAAGGATGCCCTTCCCGCTGCTCATCCTGGCACTCGGCCTGGCAGGTGAGTGGGGCTGGTGGCACCGCTCCACAGGAGATGTCCCCAGTGCCACCCACGTCCCGACAGAGCCGTGCCCCGAGCTGGCATCTCCCACCGGGTGTTTCTCCTGGATTGGTGCTCCGTGGGGTGACAGCCTTGGGTGGCACCCCCTGGCAGGGCACAGCTCCTTCCAACACGGGGTCACTCAATCCTGGTGGATCCCCATTCCCAGGAGAGCAGTTGGCAGTGCCACCGCAGTTCCAGCCAGGCTGGCTCCTGGTGTTCATTGTTATCCCTTCCCTTGTTATTGGGATGGGGCTGGAATTGTGCCAGGGCACTGGGATGGGGCTGGAATTGTGCCATGGCACTGGGATGGGGCTGGAATCATTGCATGGCACTGGGATGGGGGTGTAACCGTGCCATGGCAGTGGGATGAGCTGGAATCGTGCCATGGCACTGGGATGAGCTGGAATCGTGCTGTGCCACCCCAGCTGGCACCACGCTGGAGCACTGGTGCCACCTAGCGCTGCCAGCCTGGCCAGGGCTGGCTCCCCCTGGGGACCGTGTCCCCAGCACTGCCACCAGCCATCCTGTCCCTGTGGGGACAATCCGGGCTCTGTGCCCCTGAGCAGGTTTGGGTGCCCATGGCTGCTCCTGGCAACTGAAGGTGCCCCAGTCTGGTGCTGGATGTGGGACTGTACCCCTTCCTGCAGGGTGACATTGCTGGGGACAGTCCTGAGATGCCACCTGTCCGTGTGTCCCTCCCATGAGCGTTGCTTGAGTGTTATCCTTGTTTGGGTGCCCATGGCAGCTCCTGGGAGCTGAAGGTGCCTCTGGTTTGTCTGGGACTGTCCCCCTTCCATCAGGATGGCATGGCTGAGGACAGTCCTGAGATGCCACCTGCCTTCATGTCCCTCCTATGGGCATTGCTTGGATGTTATCCATGTTTGGGTGCCCATGGCTGCTCCTGGCAGCTGAAGGTGCCTCTGGTTTGTCTGGGATTGTCCCCCTTCCATCACGGTGGCATTGCTGGGGACAATCCAGGGATGCCACCTGTCCATGTGTCCCTCCCTAGAGCATTGCTTTGGTATTATCCACATTTGGGTGCCCATGGCAGCTCCTGGCATCTCCTGGCAGCCAAAGGTGCCCCAGTTTGGTGCTGGATGTGGAACTGCCCCGTTCCATCAAGGTGGCATGGCTGGGGACAGTCCTGAGATGCCACCTGCCCACGTGTCCCTCCCATGGACTTGCTTGGGTGTTATCCATGTTTGGGTGCTCCTGGCAGCCGAAGGTGCCCCACTTTGGTGCTGGATGTGGAACTGTCCCCCTTCCATCAAGGTGGCATAGCTGGGGACAATCCTGAGATGCCACCTGCCCATGTGTCCCTCCCACGGGCATCCCTCAATTTTCTCAGACCCCACCCAGGAGCAGAACCCAGGCGGTTCTCCTGCAGCTGTCACAGCGTGTCCCCATCCCCTCCCGCAGGCGCCATGGAGATCCAGGTGCCCGAGGAGCCCGTGGTGGCCCTGTTTGGCCAGGACGCCACCCTGCTGTGCTCCTTCTCTCCCGAGGCCAACTTCAGCGTGGCCGAGCTCAGCCTCATCTGGCAGCTGACGGACACCAAGCGCCTGGTGCACGAGTTCTCCGGAGGCCAGGACCGCCTGCAGGACCAGGGCCAGGGCTATGCCAACCGCACGGCGCTCTTCTACGACCAGCTGCAGCGGGGCAACGTGTCGCTGCTGCTGCGCCGCGTGCGCATCGCCGACGAGGGCAGCTTCACCTGCTTCGTGCGCGTGCGCGACTACGACAGCGCCGCCGTGGCGCTGCAGGTGGCAGGTGAGGGACCCTGGAGGTGGGGAGTGGTGGTTGTGCCGCCCCAAAATGTTCTTTGGGTGGTGGGATCTATGCCTTGATGAGGTTCCTGGCTGTGAGGCCACCTCAGCTGGCGGTGACCCTCAGCTGAGGATGGATTTGGCAGCTGGAAGATCCCAATCCTGGCAGCTGGAAGAGCCCATTCCAATCCTGGCTGGTCCAGCTCCCCATCCCAATCCTCACTCCAGTCCTCCCCTTGTCCCCAAAATGTTCCCTGGGCAGTGCAATCCATGCCATGCTGAGGCTCCTGGCTGAGGGGCCACCTTGAGCAGCAGTGACCCTCAGCTGAGGATGGGTTTGGCATTGGAAGATCCCAATTCTGGCAGCTGCAATATCCCAATCCTGGCTGGCCCATCTTCCCATTCCAATCCTCACTCCAGTCACCGCTTTTACCCGAAATATACCCTGGGCAGTGTGATCCATGCCCTGCTGAGGCTCCCGGCTGAGGGGCCACCTCAGCCTGCTGAGGATGGGTCTAGCAGCTGGAAGATCCCAATCCTGGCTGTCCTGGCTCCCCATCCCAATCCTCACTCTGGTCTCCCCTTGTGCTCCACAGCTCCTCCCCAGAATATTCCCTGGGCAGTGTGATCCATGCCCTGCTGAGGGTTCTGGCTGCGGAGCCACCTTGGCCAGGAGTGACCCTCAGCTGAGAATGGGTTTAGCTTCATCTCAGGGCTGGTCCAGCTCCCCATCTCAATCCTCATTCGGGTCCCCTCTTGTCCCCAAAATATTCCCTGGGCAGCGTGATCCGTGCCCTGCTGAGACTCTCAGCTAAGGGGCCAGCAGTGACCCTCAGCTGAGGATGGGTTTAGCAGCTGGAAGAGCTTGTCCCAATCCTGGCTGGCCAAGCTCCCCATCCCAATCCTCACATCAGTCCCCCCTTATCCCCAAAATGTTCCCTGGGCAGTGCAATCCATGCCCTGCTGAGGCTCCTGGCTCACCTCAGCTGATGGTGACCCTCAGCCAAGGATGGGCTTGGCACTGGAAGATCCCAATCCTGGCAGCTGCAAGATCCCATCCCAATCCCGGCTGGCCCCGCTGCTGCTCCCAATCCTCACTGCTGTCCCCCCCGTCCCCACAGCTCCCTACTCCAAGCCCAGCGTGCACCTGGAGCCCAGCAAGGACCTGAAGCCGGGCGACGTGGCCGAGGTGACGTGCCACGCGTCCCGCGGCTACCCCGAGGCCAGCGTGCTGTGGCAGGACAGCCGGGGTGCCAACCTGACTGCCAACGTCACCACGTGGCAGGTGGCCAACGAGGACGGGCTCTTCGAGGTGCGCAGCGTCCTGCGCGTGCTGGTGGAGCCCAACGTCACCTACTCGTGCCTGGTGCTCAACGCCGCGCTGCGCCAGCACGGCCACGCCTCGGTCACCATCACGGGTGAGCCAGGGCTGGGGAGGGGACACTGACACCCAGAGACTGCCACAAGGGCTGGGGAGGGGGCACTGCCACACAGAGACTGCCACAAGGGCTGGGGAGGGGGCACTGACACACAGAGACAGCCAGGAGGGGCTGGGGAGGGGACAGTGGCACACAGAGACAGCCAGGAGGGGACACTGCCACCCAGAGCCTGCCAGGAGGGCTGGGGAGGTGGCAGTGTCATGCAAAGCCAGCCAGGAGGGGCTGGGGGAGGTGGCAGTGGCACACACAGCCAGCCAGGAGGGGCTGGGGGAGGTGACACTGCCACCCAGAGTCTGCCAAGAGGTCTGGGGGAGGTGGCACTGCCACACAGAGACAGCCAGGAGGGGCTCAGGGAGATGACAGTGGTAGCCAAAGCCAGCTGAGAGAGTTGGAGGAGGTGGCAGTGCCATGCAAAGCCACCCAGGAGGGGCTGGGGAGGTGACCATGGTGGCACTGGCACCCAGAGCGTGCCAGGAGGGGCTGGGGGAGATGACAGTGCCATGCAAAGCCAGGTAGGAGAGGCTGGGGAGGTGACACTGCCACCCCGAGCCAGCTAGGAGAGGCTGGGGGAGGTGACAGTGGCAGCCAAAGCCACCCAGAGGGGCTGGGGGAGGTGACACTGGCATCCAGAGCCACCCAGGAGACACTGGGGGAGGTGGCCGTGGTGACACTGTCACCCAATGCCACCCAGCCGGGCTGGGGAAGGTGACTGGGTGGCACCGAGGAGGGCTGGGTGAGGTGGCACTGGCACCCAGAGCTGCTGGAGGAATGGCAGTGTCACCCAGTCCAGCCAGGAGGGCTGGGTGAGGTGACACTGGCACCCAAAGCCACCCAGAGCATGGGTGCTGGGAAGGGATTCCTGGCTGGGCTGACATTCCCAGAGTGCTGTGGCTGTCCTTGGATTCCTGTCCCCATCCCAGGCCAGGTGGGACAGGGCTTGGAGCAGCCTGGGACAGTGGGAGGTGGCATTGCCATGGCAGGGGGTGGCAGCAGGTGACATTTAAGTCTTCCATGGGGACATTCCATGCCCCCAGGAAGCAGCTCCTGGGGCTGGATTGTGATCCAGCCTGGATGTGGGGTCACCCTGGATATGGGGTCACCCTGGAGCATCCTGGATCATTGTGGGTGTGGGGTCACCCTGGGTCATCCTGGATATGGGATCACCCTCAAAGTTGGATCATCCTGGGTTTTGGGGCATCCCGGGTGTTGGATCACTCCAGATGTGGGGTCACCCTGGGTATTGAACCATCCTGGATATGGGATCGTCCTGAATGTGGGATCACTCTGGATCACCCTGGATGTGGGGTCACCCTGGATGTGGGGTCACCCCAGATATGGGGTTACCCTGGATGTGGGATCACTCTGGATATGGGATCACCCCGGATATAGGATCATCCTGGGATGTTGGGTCACCCTGGATATGGGATCACCCTGGATGTGGGATCATCCTGGATGTGGGATCACCCTGGATATGGGGTCACCCCAGATGTGGGATCATCCTGGGATGTTGGGTCACCCTGGATATGGGATTACTCTGGATGTGGGATCACCCTGGATATGGGGTCACCCTGGATGTGGGATTACCCTGGATGTGGGATCACCCTGGGTATGGGATCACTCCAATTATGGGATCACCCTGGAAATGGGATCGCTCCAGATGTGGGGTCACCCTAATTATGGGATCACCCTGGATATAGGATCACCCTGGCTGTGGGGTCACCCCGTCATTCCCGGGTGCTGATCCAGGCCCTTTTCCGTCCCTCCCCGCAAGGCCAGCCCCTGGCATTCCCGGCGGTGGCCCTGTGGGTGACAGTGGCCCTGGCCGTGTGCGTGGTGGCCCTGCTGGGCGTCCTGGCCTTCGTGTGCCACCAGAAGATCCGGGAGAGCTGCCGGGAGGATGAGGAGCGCACAGGTGAATCCCGGGAAAGGCTGCAAGGGGACAGATGGCACCGGAGGGACACCAGAGGGACACCAGGGGGTGGCACTGCCACGCGTGTCCCCTTTTCCCATGGCCAGCACACCTCTGGTGCCTTCTCCCGTTTTGGGTCGTGTTCCACATTTTTATGGGGTGGTGTTTGCACCAAAGGGGATTTGTTCCCAAAAAAGCTCCCAGAATGGCTCTGCCACCCTCAGGAATGACCTTTTTTCCATGGATTTTGTCCATGGATTTTGTTTCCAGTTTCCCTTGGGAATTGCCTTTTTCCATGGTTTTTTCCATGGATTTGCTCCCCATTTCTCTTGGGAATGACATTTTTTCCATGGGTTTTTTCATGGATTCACTCCCAGTTTCTATTGGGAATCACCATTTTTCCATGGATTTGCCCCCAGTTTCCCTCAAGAATGACCTTTTTTCCATGGATTTGCCCCAGTTTCTCTTGGAAATGACCTTTTTATCATGGATTTTTCCCATTAATTTTGCTCCCAGTTTCCCTTGAGAATGACCTTTATTCCACCTTTTTTTTCCATGGATTTTGTTCCCAGTTTCCCTTGGGAATTACCTTTTTTCCATGGATTTTACTCCCTGTTTCTTTGGGGAATTACCTTTTTTCCATGGATTTTTTAATGGGTTTGTTCCCAGTTTCCCTTGGCAATGACCTTTTTCCATGGATTTTTTCATGGATTTACTCCCAGTTTCCCTTGGCAATGACCTTTTTTCCATGTTTTTTTCCATGGATTTGCTCCCAGCTTCCCTTTGGAATTACCTTTTTTCCATGGATTTTGTTCCCAGTTTCTCTTGGGAATTTTCTTTTTCCATGGGATTTTTCCATGGATTTTGCTCCCAGGAACAGCAGCAGGGGGTGGGAATTTCCTGGGGTCCTTGTGGGTGCTGGAGGGAGGGAAGAGCCTCCCAGTTTGGGGTATCCCAGATTTTGGGGGATGCAAGGATCCCTGTCCAGGTGGTTTTTAGCTGTGCCGAACCCACCGCTGTCCCTCAGAGCTGGGGCTTTTCCCGTTGGGATTTTTGGGAATGTGGCGCCCTGAAAAGGCCAGGATGCTCCAAGGGGCACCCCCAGAATCCCAGGAATGGGGTTCCCACCTCGGGATCCTTGTTTTCCAGGGCCAGAGGAGCGGGATGAGGAGGGGGAGGAGCCCAAGACAGGTGGGTGCCCCATCCTGGTTCAGGGTGGCCCCTTCCCTATTCCCAATTTTCTGACACCCCTGATCCTGGATAAACCTCCCCATTCCCAAATAAAACCTCCCTATTCCTTAATAAAACCTCCCCATTGCCAAAGAAAACATCCCCAATCCTTAATAAAATGACAGAATTCCATAATAAAATCTCCCAGTTCCTTAATAAACCTCCCAATGCCTTAATAAAATCTCCCAATCCCCAAATAAAGCCTCCCCATTCTTTAATAAAACCTTCAAATTCCCGAATAAAGCCTCCAAATTCCCAAACAAAACCTCTCAATTCCTTAATAAAATGACAGAATTCCTTAATAAAACCTCCCAATTCCTTAATAAGTGACAGAATTCCATAATAAAACCTCTCAATTCCTTAATAAAATCTCCCAATTTCCAAATCAAACCTCCCCATTCCTTAATAAATTGATGAAATTCCTTAATAAAACCTCCCAATTCCTTAATAAAATGTCAGAATTCCCAAATCAAACCTCCCAATCCCATAATTTTCCAGCATCCAGCAGCTCTGTGGTGTTCCTGGGGATTCCCTTTATCCACTGGCACGGGACCAAACCCTGGGAATTCTGCAGGGAAATTGGGAATTGGGGTCACTTTTGGGGTTTATGCCCCAAAAAATGGGATTTTGGAGCTGTTTCCTTTGGGAATGGGATGGGATTGACCACAAGATGTTTCTCTCTTTTTCCAGCTCTGCAGCTGCTGGAAAACACGGAGAGCAGAGAGGGTGAGTGGATATTTCTGGCAAATCTGGGATAATTCCCATTTTCTCCCTAAAATTTGCATAGGAAACATTTGTCATGTTTCAAGGGGTATTTTCCCCTCCCTATTTTCATTTTCCCACGGGTTTTCCATCAGCTTTTCCCAGATCATGGTTTTCCATTTCCCCTTTTCCCAGTTTTTTCCAGTTTATCCCAGTTCTTCCTGTCATCCAGTGGCTCCTGCATCCCTCATCCCTCCTTTTCCTGGCCACTCTGGATGGGGAAAAGCCTCCCCACACCCAACCCTGGAAGGAATTTTGGGTTTTTTTGGGGTTTCCATGGATTTTCTGGGATTATGGGAATTGCTGGGGTTGGAAAAGGATCCAGAGTTTTCCCAGAATGAAAAAGATCCAGAGTTTTCCAAGCTGCAGCCCCAATAATCCATTAATGTATTAATTTATCAATTTATCAATTTATTCATTTAACAATTCATTGGTTTGTTGATTTATTAATTTAATAATTTATTAATCCATTAATCCACTAATCAGTTAATCCATTAATTCATTACTCTACTGATTTATTAATTCATTAGTTCATTAAGCTGTTGATTTATCAATTCCCTTCCCCGTGCCGGCAGTTCCATGTTTTCCCTCTCAATTCCCTTTCCCCCGCCCAGGTCGGGAGCAGGAGATCGATTGACGGCAGCCCCGGCCCCGCCCGCCTGTCCCCGAGCCAGCAGCGACACCCCCGGGGCAGTGACACTTCCAGGCCGGTGACACCCCTGGAGTGGTGACATCCCGGGGCAGTGGCACCTCTTGGTGGTGACACCCCTGGCATGGTGACACCTCCAGGCCAGCGACAACTCCGGGGCGGCCACACCCCCGGAGCAGTGACACCTCCAAGCCGGTGACACCCCCGGGCAGCCACATCCCCGGGGCGGTGACACCCCTGGAGTGGTGACACCTCCAGGCCAGTGACACCCCCTGGGCCGTGACACCCTGAGGCCGGTGACACCTCTGGGTGGTGACACCCCCGGCACAGTGACACGCCCCGGTTGGTGACACCCCCTCTGGGCAGTGACACCCCCGGGGTGGTGACAACCCTGGGGCAGTGACAACCCTGGGGCTATGACACCTCCAAGATGGTGACACCTCTCGGCGGTGACACCCTCAGGGTGGTGACGCCTTCAATCCGGCGACAACCCTGGAGCTGCGACACCCCGCAGTCGGTGACACCTCTGGAGCGGTGACACCCCCAAGGCAGTGACACCCCTGGGTTGGTGACAACCGTGGGGCAGTGACACCTCCAAGCTGGTGACACATCCGGGCGGTGACACCCCCGGGGTGCCCCGGAGGTAGGACCCGGAGCTGCCACCTGCCCCACCCCATTCCCACCTCCATCCTTCCCGGGAATGGCGGTGAGGATCTGCCCGGTGTCCCCATGTCCCTCTGCGTGTCCATCCCAGGGGGACATTCCCCTTTCCCTGCTCTGGTGCTGCCCCGGGCGCCTTTCCCTGCCCTTCCCAAGCCCGGAGCCTCGGGAATGGCGGCTTCCCCACGCTCCTTTTCCCGCTCCCCGAGTCCCTCCGGACTCGTCCTGGCCTTATCTGCTGGATCCCGGCGGGGTTTGTCCCACCGGGAACGATCCCGGGGCATTTTTGGGAAGGGGGCACCCGCTGGCCGGGTGAGGTCCTGCTGTGAGGACACCTCTGGGGACATCCCCAGCTCGTCATTCCCATGGGACTGGGGGCTCTGGCTGTGTCCCGGGGTGTCCCCAGCGCTGTTGGGGACATGGGGACACCCTGAGTGCTGCTGTCCCGGAGCACGGGAAGTCCCCAAGGGCTCCTTGGGTTGAATCCTTCTTTAAAATCCGGGATCTGGAGGGTTTCTCGTGCCTTGACAAATAAATTTGGGACCGTGTTGGTCGATCCCTCCCAGCTCCGTGTGCTCTATGGGATTTGGCCAGGAACGGTGTAAGGGTTGGGATTCCCAGGGGAAAAGATTTCCAGGGCCTGTTGGAGCCACATCACAAGGAGGAAAATCCCACAGCGATGCCTGAGCTGGCTCCTAAATTAAATCCCGCTGCCAGGATGGAGTGGGAATTCCCACGGGATCCTTCCCCATGGGGTGGGAATTCCCAGGGGATCCTTCCCAAGGCCCTTCCTGAATCCCCTCTGGGGGATGGTTTTTGGTTGTCCTTCCCCAAGCTCAGCATCCCGATGGGAGAACATTCCCAAAATCCAGCCCAAGAGAAGCCTGCTGGCCTCAGGCTGGGATGGAGAGGGATGGATGGTGGCTCCATCCCGGGATTTGATTTCCAGCCTGAATGAAGAGTGGCTCCACCCCTTACAGCCACACCCACACAGCCACGCCCTCGGATCCCCTCTTCGATCTCCTGGTGACCCCTGGAGCCCAGGGGCTTCCAAGGGCTGTGGGAAGACACCACAGGGCCATCGTGGCCAGCTGTGGGGCCATCGTGACTGGCCTTGGGGACACTGGGGCCAGCTGTGGGGCCATCTTGGCCAAATGCAGGGCCATCGTGGCCATCTGTGGGGCCATCTTGGCCAGCTGTGGTACCATCAGGGCCAGCCACGAGGCCATCTTAGCCAGCCATGGGGCCAATGGGGCTGGGCTTGGGGACATTGGGGCCAGCAGTGGGGCCATCAAGGCTGGCCACAGGGCCATTGGGGCCAGCTGTGGGGCCATTGGGGCCAGCCACCCCCCATAGACAACAGTGGCCCACGAGGCTCTCCCGGCCATGTCCTCATCATTGTCCCTGTCCCCCAGATCCTGTTGGGAGCTGGGGACATGTCAAGCCCAGTCTGTGCCAGGACAGCGCTCCAGGCTCTGCCCACCCATGCCTGGTGTCCTGGGATAACAGAGCTCCCTGGGAGCGCCGTGTCCATCCCCGGCATCGGGACAGTGTAGGATATTCCTGTGGGAACCCAGGATGCTCCCAGGCTGGTCCTCCCCAGCAGTCCCAAAAAACAAAATGTCAGATCCAGCAACATTTGGGGGAAAAGCTCGTTTCACCCTGCTTGGATTGGGGTTGGATTGAGAGGAATTCTGCATATCCCTCAGTCTCACCTCTGGGATGACACCGGGACGGATGGTTGGATGGATGGATGGATGGATGGATGGATGGATGGATGGATAGATGGATCCACAGATGGATGGATGGATGATGGATGGAGGGATGGTGGGATGGATGATGGATGGATGGTTCCATGGATGGGCGATGAATAGAAGGAAGGATCCATGGATAGATCCATGGATGGATGGATCAATTGATACTTGAATGGATGGATGGATGGATCCATGAATGAATCCATGGATGGATGGATGGATGGTCAGTCCCAGCTCCTCCCCTTGGATTTCTGCATTGTTTTCCCACCCCAAAGCTGCTCGGGAATGCAGCTCTTCCCACCTGGATTGACCATCAGGAACCAAGGTGGCATTTTTGGCTCAGAAAAACCTTGGCAAAGCCTCGTGCCAGGAATGCTCTGGGATGGAATTATGTCCCTGCAGGATGAGGCGCCGGCGGGAAGGACACGGGAACATTGTCCTGGGAGCAGCTGCTGCTCCGACCCCTTTGGATACCTCGGAAAAACGCCCAGGGTGGATTTGGAGCTCTAGATTCCTTCGGTTCCAAGCAGGACTTGATTTCTTTCCCTGAAAAATCAGCATTTGGATGTGGAAAAGCAGGATTAGGGAGCTCAGGAAAAGTGGGACTTTTTTCAGATGGATGCAGGACTCAGGATCAGGGATATTTCTGCCAGAAAAGTTGGGAATTCAGGGGGAAGAAGTTCCCAAGGACAGGTCCTCATTCCTGGGGGTTTTGGTGATCCCCTTGTTGTTCCTCTTGGAGTTGGGAATGATATTCCACTGACATTCCAGTGACATCCTGGAGCCCTCCCAAATCCCCTCCACCAGAAATGTCTGACTCCACTGATTTTCCCTAAACCAAACAGGGATAACAGATCCCAGAGAAGGGAATTTCCTCCTCCCTGATCCTGCCACCCCCTCCAGCATTCCCACATTCCAATCTGTGCCCTATTCCTGCCCTCCAGAATGGAGGTCAGCACCTCCTGGCACATCTGTGTCATGGTTGGGATTTCTCTGTGCTGGATGATTTACTGAGCTCCTTCGATCCAGTGAAAAAAAAAAAAAAAATAAAATACCCTGAGCCTGGAAAACCAGGATATTGGAATATCAGGATATTGAGATACCGGGAAATGGCGATATCGGGATATTTGTTGCCACCTTCTCACTCGGCGTTTATGAGGAGTACGGATTTATTGAAATATATATTTATATTTATATATAGATCTTTTCCAGCCCCTTTCCCAGGGATTTTCCCCCTCCCCCAAACCCTTTCCAAACCCGGATCCGGGCTCAGTTTTTGTTGGGAATTCTCTGCCTGGCCGGGACGTACGGCAGCAACGTCTGCGTGCTCTTATCGGCCACGGTCTGGGTGCTGCTGTTCCTCATGGCCCTGCGGATCGGGATCACGCCCGGGTTCCTCGGGAGCTGCTCCCGAGGCCCCTTCCTGGCAGGATCATCGGGAATGTCGGCGCTGTCGTCGGCATCACCATCGTCATCGCAGCACAGGGCGTGATAGAGCACCTTGTCACTGAAGCGGACGCGCTCCCGCGTCCCCGCCGGCCGCTGGGCCGGGATTTTGGGAACGGCGGCGCTCCCAAAACATTCCTCACTGGAGGAATCTGGGGTCCCGCCGCCCCCACGGGGGCCGTTGGCCATGGGGACCCCCCCGTTCATCAGCCGGGCCGGCGGCGGCCGCGGAGGCTCCGGGCAGTCGCCGGGGTCCGAGGGCGTGGAGGCGTCCAGGAAGGAGCAGAATTCCCAGCTGTCCGAGAGGACGTCGGAGGCGGCGAAGTCCAGCGGGCCCAGCTCGAGGCTGGCGCCGCCCCGGTCGCTGCTGGACGTGCTGCTGGCCGTGGCCGGAGTCCAAGCGTCCGGCTCCAGGTCCAGAGCGAAGTCCGACGTCAGGCGGTCAATCTGGGATACGACCTGTGGAGAGAGAGAGATGGACACAGGGATGGATGGATGGATGGATGGATGGATGGATGGATGGATGGATGGATGGTGGGTCCCAACACCTCCCCTTGGATTTCTGTGTTGTTTTCCCAAAACCCCAAAACTTCCAGGGATTGAGGGATGGAGGGATCCCTCCACCCCTCAAGCTTTGGCTTTGAAGCTTTTTGGGAATATCCCCAGGGAAGCCTGGAAATCAGGAGAACTCCTTTTTCCCTTTCCAGATCCCTTTTCCTTTTATTTTTTTCTTCTTTTCTGGGAAAGGAAGGGCTAAACTTGAGAAAGAGAGTTTAAAAAGGGGTTTTCTGATCTCTTTATTTTTGGGACAAGGAAAAATTGGGAAGGAGGCTGGGAGTCTTTGGGAATACCCCATTATAATGGTTCTGCTGGAATGGGATCCCCTCTGTTCCCGACAGGAATTTCAACTCTGGGACAGGGCCAACATGTCCCTGTCACCTGAGGTCTCTTCCCAGCCTCACTGAAGGGACCGGGATCAAGCAGGGACAGCAGGAAGTGCATCCCAATCCCAATCCCAATCACCTGTTATTGGTGCCACTCATGGCCATTGCCATCCCAGTCCTGTCCCCATCCCAAGACTGGTGTCACTTGTCACTGTCCCCATCCCAGTCCTGTCCCCATCCTGATCCTGTCCCCATCCCAGGACTGGTGTCACTCATCACTGTCCCCATCCCAGTCCT